TTCACTGCATTTGTAGCTTTATTTGTATGTTAGTATGTCATTTTCTGGGGTTAGATCAAGGAGGCCTTTATACAACATGAGAGGAGTGTGCCTCATATGTAGACAAGGTGTTCCATTTCTATTCAGAATGAATAACACTTGTGCTCTCAGCTGCATTGTGTTCACAGTAAAGGTATTAATCTCTTCTGTGTTTTCTTTATCATAAAGTACTCCATGGTGGTCTCCTGGACAAATTTCAATTAACTGACTATAGTTCTGATTCATACTTTAGAAATACATTTGGCAATAAAAATTAAATTCATCCATATTTTTAACATAATGTGCTTCAGACTCAGTACTGAGGTTCCATAGCTTCCTTTGACAATTTGAGAGTTTTAAATAATATAAGGGATTTAAAAGATCTTTCTCCTGGGTTAATTTATTGGATTTACCCATGACTCAGACTGATTTTAAATTTTTTAAGCATGTTAAAGTTAATATACTTTGTTATATCAATCTATATGATTTTTCATACATTTAAACATTACAGATATCTATGTTGTAATCAGAAGCCACTAATTAATTACTATATGACATATTTTGTAAGATGTTTAATACATATGTCCATATAAAACCCTTGGGTTTTTTTTTCCATTTATAATTGGAAGAAAAATAAATTTAAAGTGTATTCAAATAGCGTTGCCGAAGAAGCTTTTGGAAGCAGCAGGAAAACACTCTACCTAACCCCAATTAGTCTTGTTTTCTACATTCAGGGCAGTTCTGTTTTTCAACATATCCACTAAACATGATGATAATGAAAATTAATATGGTTAGAAAGCAATTCAATTGCAAATGTTTATAGTTCATAATTGTTGTTTCCTGTCATAACTTTCGTAAAACCTGTCAGCTCTGAAAAGAAGGCTCAAGGAGCATGTAAGCTAGACACACGCACCTAAATTATACAGTAGCTATTCTCCTGCAAAGCAATGCAGAATTCATTTTTTAGCAAATTGAATTGTACTTTTATTGCTCTTGGTGAGTTCACTACTTCTCAGGATAGGTAAGCTTGATTATGAATCCAAATATTTTAATTCATATGTGAACCCTTATATAAAGAAAATTTCTTGTGGATTTATCAACAATGTGAAAAGTTTAACCACAAGAAGAATGCTAGAACCCCATCTCTATAGAGTTTGCTCATTCCATTTTAATTATAAGAATGTCTTTCTGTCCCTTTTTTTCCAAAACTACCACAAATGAAAATTTTAGCTATATTTTTATTTGTCTAAGAATGTTTTTGCCTAAAATGTATGAAACTCATCATGCCATAGGGAGCTGCAAAGATAAATCAAACACAGATCTTGCCATAGGAGAATGAGCAGTACAGAAGGCAGATGGGGTGGGTTTTTTTAGACATCCCCCCCATCCCCCCAACCCTGCTCTCATTGGTTCTTACATCTCACAGTTGCTCCTTGGTGCCAACAAATGTCAGGAAAAATCGTCAAGGGAACAGGGCAGTTCTGTAGTTCCTGAAGGTTTTTGACCAAAGATCTTAGATTATTACAACTAATGTTGATGTCACAGCAATGATTTCACAATGAAGACAGCTATCAGACACAGTAGGAAGGAAGGCCATTTAGAAAGGAGCCATTGCCAACAACTGAGTTGAAATGTAATAAGAACTTAAACAAGGGCAATGGCAGCAGAAGGAACACTGCAAGTTTTGATCTAAGAAAGAGGTGACAGGAAGCAGCAACTAGTTTGAGAAGAGATGGGTGGACAACCATGCTGAGTTTCTAGGCCTGGGAGAGTAGGTGCCAAGAGCAAAACAACAGAAGAGGAGCAACAGGAAAGACAGCGGTGGATTAGATGACCCAGAACAGCACCTCGAAAACTAAGCATTATGGAGTGGTTGAAAGGGCCATCTGGAAACAAGCTGTCAGGCAGGTAGGAAGGCAGTCAATGTGTAGTGGTGTCATAAGAGACAAGGAAGGAGAAAGCTTTTATAAAAATAAGTCTTAAGTATTACAGAGGCAAGTGAGCATTATGGAAGGATTTGCAAACTGGGCCTAAAACCTTTGACAAAAAAGATCCAGTAAAATACAGAGCCAGGAAGGTAAATTTCAATGAGATAAAGATTGTGCGTGGAAGGCCAAGGAATGGTGAAATGTATGATGTCACATAACTTATTTTTTATTACTTTATAGTTGATTTAAAATATTGTGTTAGTTTTAGGTGTACAACAGAGTGATTCAGTATTTTTGCAGATTATACTCCATTATATGTTAATACAAGATAATGGGTATAATTCCCTGTGCTATACAATATATCCTTGTTGCTTATCTATTTTATAAGTAGTAGTTTGTATCTGTTAATTCTATATACCTACTTTGTCCCTCCCCCTCTTCCCTTTTCCCTTAAATCAGTTTGCTAATAGATAAAGTATATAATTTGTATCTGACAATACAAAGTTATAGACAAAATCAGGATGTTAAAAATAAACTTTCATACACCAGATTATAATGTTGTAAACAAAATGAGGTACCATATCTAAAAGGAAGATTTGACTAGAAAATACTCTTCATATAAAAAGAAGCATCATTTGAAGAGGAGAAAGGATTTTAAAGACATGAAGACACGATTTTGAGAAAAATGTTTTTGTAGAAAGCTATCCTGTTGACCTCACCCTGCACCCTCTCCCACCCATCACATCTGACAGTGTTTAAGGATAGTTAAAACCCTATCATTCGGAAAGGAACATAACGGACCAACAGAGTCATGCATTCATATCTGAAAAAGCCAAAGCAGCCTGTGTGTGTGTGTGTGTGTGTGTGTGTGTGTGTCTGTCTGTTTGTCTGTCTGTGTCTGTGTCTGTGTGTGTGGAGAGAGAGATAGGGAAGAGATTGATCACTAACTATACCTCCATAGACAGCAGGGAAGGAAATGTCTACCATGGTCTAGATATGGACTCCTCAGGAAAGCCATTTGGCCTGGATTCACTTGATGTTCTGCCCCAATGGTTTTCCTAGTCAGGTGCTCAAGACAACCTTAGCATTCTCCTCAGCTGTCCTGAACTTTAGAGAAGCTTCCTCCCGACTCTAGGCCCATGACCTCACATTTCTCAGAGCTTCTACTATTGAAAACTTTTCGTTGTAATTCTTTCTTTGCATCTTTTGAGATATAAATCTTTTTAAAATCTTCTTGCCAGTTTGACAACCAAAGACGCCTTTCTTCGGGACCCAGATCCATCTCTTTGAAATGCAATCATCAATAAAGATAGTGGCCCTCTCTGTGGGCAGATAGGAGCCTTGTTCTAAGCTGTAAACTATCTTCTGTGATGAAGACATGAGAGAGTTTATGTTTTTAGGGGATAGGGCCAAATAGCGACACAGGTAGCCCATGGGCCCCCCACCTCAGCTCTTAAAAAATCTGCCACCTTTTGTTTCAGAGGAGTTGAGCAAAAGCTGAGTTCTGGCCTCTCTCCCCTATTTCAATAGCCTTGAATAAAGTCTTCCTTACCTCTTTCACTTTGTCCAGTGCAACTCTTGCTTTAACACAGGCAAGTAGTTGTTGGCAGCAAGAGTCTGTATATAATGTGAAAAACCAGAGGGGACCAAGTTAGAAATGAAAAGACAAAATCCTAGGAATTGTAGCTGGCAAAGGGTGTCTAAAGATTACACAAATGCTCATGAGTCATAGGGTTAAAATACAGGACATTCAGTTAAATTAGAATTTCAAATGAACAACATATAATTTTTTAGTATAAGCTTAACTCATGCACTGTTTGAGACATACACTAAAAAATTATGTGTTGTTTATCTGAAACTGAAATTTAACTGAGCTCCCTATATTTTATCTGACATTCCTACTGTGAGAAAAACAGTTTTAAACATCTGTTCTTCCTAGAGAGCAGAGGACTGCTTACAACAGTATTGGTGGCCAGCTGTAATAGCTACACTTTACTATGAACTTCTCTCTCTTTTCTGCCCACTTTGCCCTCTCTGCAAAGCTCAAAGTGTCTGAAACAGCAGCTAGCTTGAGAGGAGGCTCTAAGAACACAAAAAGAAGAGAAACCAACTTCTTCCTGCCCGGAAAACAGGCAGCGGGTGACAGGTGCCCTGCAGGCCTTAGCTGGTTGGAGGGGGCTGGGGAAGTCATATCTCTAAAGGAAGATTTAAATGTTGATAAATTTCTTAGCCTGGATTAGCTTCTGCATCATTGTATAACTTAGAAAGAAGGTAGGACTCATAGGGACTGCCAAGTTTTCACCCAGAGGCAGAGAAAATTTCCCCCATTGTGAGAGAGACAAAAATAAAGTTCTAGCCTCCCATATATTATATTACACTTGTTCAATGTATCAAGTCTATAGATCTAAATATATATATGACAATAAAATACTTTCCAAATTTTATGTGCCTCCAGATTTTATGAGATTAATTCATTTAAAGAATAATTTTAAAAGGATAACTGTAAAAATTATTAATCACATTGCATATTATAGTAATACTATTTATAAAATATTTAAGTATTATTGACAAGCACTAAATATTAATGAATATTAATAAAATACCTCTATGAGACAAATTTCTAATCTTTTTTTGTTAGACTTTTTAAAAACTTTTTTTATTGAGGTATGATTACATCAAATAAAATTCATGAATTTTAAGAGTGTAATTTGATGTACAGCCATTTGTATCACAGGATATTCTAAGAGTCTAATGAAAACTATTATTTCACATATGCAGGGACACATTTTTAATACAATATCACGGCATTTTTTTCATCCATCTAAAATTTTTGCTTAAAGTTTTTTCCTATGAACTGGTAGTTAATTACTCGAGACAATGACTTTACAAATTTATTATACTTATATATCTAAATTTCTTGAAGTTTGGCCAAATATCTATAAATACCAGTGTTATCATTTTATATGAATGTTAACTATAAATGCTATGTTCTCATCTACTTGATTAGCAATAAAATGCTATCAGAACATATATTAATATGACTTTTTTTTTTAGATGCAGGTTTATTTTTTCCATCTTTCAATGGGAATTCCTACTTAGAACTGCCTTTTTGTACAACCCTAAGGAAGGAACGTAACAGAATTGTTAACATCTACTTGACTATACAAACAAGCACTTTGAATGGAACAATTCTCTACAGTGAGTATTAAATGTTTGACCTCCTATATGTCATGCTTCTTTCTCAAATATTAACCTACTGAATTAATGAATTATTAATTTAAATGTTTTGGGAAAACTTTTCTAGCCCAGTGAATGAAGTATTACCAAAAAGAAATCTTGTTTCTTTCTAGTGTTCTTTAGCAGTTTCTTTAATTTATGAGTCACTTAATGAAACATGACTTACAAACAGGAACCAGCAAAGAAGTCACTTAATGAGTCACTTAATGAGTCACTTAATGAAACATGACTTACAAACAGGAACCAGCAAAGAAGAATACAGCAGGCATATAAATTTGACAGCATATGGCTATAGCAGTGAAACAGTAGTGCTGCAAATGTTTCAAATAGCATATTTTTTATAATATAAATAACTAACATGAATTGCATTCAATACTTGGTAACTTGGAAAAAAGTATTTCAAAGCTGGTATTCATTTGACAGTTGGGAAAATTCTTATCACTCTTTAAGTATTATCTTAAATTTAGCTGGCAAAAAAAAAAAGTAGTATTAACAATATTTGTTTAAGGAAATACCTCCATGTACAGGGTTCTCTACATTTTGGTCTCTTTCACTCATGGGCAAATACCACTAAAGTGTATTGCTTGCAATATTACAAATGTAACAATTGTTTTTTTCTCTTTTGAAATGAATACACCATAGTTTTAATAGTTCCCTATATTGGAGATACAATGTCTTCAGTACTTGGATAGATGATCCACTGTAAGGCAACTCATTATTTCCCAAAGGAGTTTCTCTTCCACTTTGAAATATTTTGCAAAATCGATTCATCTTACTGTACTTTCTAAACAAAACTTAAACTTTTTTATGACTTGAATATGAGAAAAATGCCTAAAAGAAGAATTTTTGGAAAACTGGGTATAGTTAAAAGCTTTGAACATTAAGTTAAAACTGGGAATTTATGTTACATTTTAGAAAGAAACTAACTTGTCAGAACTAGGCCAGCATTATTTATTTCCTAGGAGTGCGAGTGCCCCTGTTTAATTGATAGCTTTAAATTATTTCATTAATTTATGTTTAAAAAAAGAGAAGAAAATAATAAAAGAAAAACTGATTTTTTATATGGGAAACCTAAGTGGTGATAGGTGACTATGAAATTTGGAGGTAATATTGCATTTCAGGGGGAACAAAACAAAACATAAAACAAAAGATATAAACATAATACTTTAAAGCCACAAAGAAAGCAAAGTCGTTTTCTGGCTTTGCAGTGTTTTAAGTTACCTAGATATGGAAGGTGTTTCCTTGTGAAAAGTGTGTTTTTAGCAACTGAAAGCAGCTCATAGCCAAAGAAGCAGACAACCTCTGGGAATTCTCCTACCCTGGGCCTGCGCTGCAGGCCCACGTCCAAACTGCCACTCAACTTTCTCTTTCTGAAGGCCATAGACATACATGCCACGTGTGTCCACTCTGTTCAAGCTGGTGCTCTAAAACAGTCAAACCTAAGCTGATGTTAGTGCCATACAATTAATTTTGCCTTTTGTAGCCAATGACCTACCAAAAAAGTCAAACTAGAAATTATTAATGAGAAAAGAGTGCCCTTGGAATAATGAGCAGCCTGTGTCTTTGTCTTACATAATTGTTGCTATCACAGCACTGGATGTGTGGACACTGTTTACTCAAGGGAGTTTCATAGCCTGTGAAGGGAGAAAATATTTTTGTCTGTAGCACATTCTTTTTGTTCATGTGTAAGTGGTAATTTAATCCCACACTCTTGGGAAGACCTCAGCAGAATGGTTTATGGGTTTGCTGTCTTCACTCCTCTTGGAATCTGTCAACCTCATAAAAGCCTCACAACAGATGAACACAAAGATTTTTGTGGTTCATTTAGACACCCGCGATTTTAAAGGTGTCCCTTAATTTGACTTCAGGACTAATTTTCTTTCCTTTGAAATCAGTATATTATGTGTAGGAGCAATTAAAAGTCGTGAGGAAATTAAAACAGATGTTAGAGTGTAAGGTTTTTTTGGTTTTTTGGGGGGGTAGAGGGGTTGCTTTTTACCTTTGCTATTTTTCCCTATTCCTGAACATTTTAGCAAAAACTGAATTTCATTTCACAAACATTTATTGAACATTTTTGCTTTGTATCATCACTTATTAAAGGGAAAACGATAGAGAGAAATATTAGATTGATAAGCCAATGACAGTTTTGAATTATATTCCTAGTTCAAAACTGTAGCTTTATCTTTTCTCAGTTTGCCTCAACAACTAATTGATGTTGAAAAGGGAACAAAAGGGAGATAAAGTTTGAATCCTTATGGGGTTACAGTAAAATTCCTTAGAAAGGATAGTTTTTAAAAGAACTCTCTGTGGGAGAGAGACAGCTCTGAGAACAGCAGTCAAGATGAAAAGAAAGCTTTTTGAATCTGCCACTGAACCAATTCAGAATTCTGGAACACAGTCAAAGGAGCTGCTAATAGGTCACGGGAGAAGGGGTGAGACCACACAAAACTCTTTAGGTGCACTCTCAGAAAATGAGCTCTGTTCAGCAAGCAGCATCAGTCAGGTTTTGTCATGGGATTTATTACTATGCAGGTGAATCCATTCTGTGCTATTTCTGTGAGAAGAAATAAGCAGGCCCTTTGGAAGGATGTGATCTGAGAATTAGGAGAAGACATTTGACCGAGATGCAGGAGGCAAATTACATGAGCAGCTCCAGTGGAAGAACAGCATTCAGAAATAATCTTTATATTACTTAGGGTCTGTATTTAAGAAAGAGAGCAAAAGGACTGGTCTTAGAAATTTATTCCAGGTAGGAATTGATAGAACAGATAAGATTATTGAAGCCTCCTTTCTGGTGCATTTAGGAAGGACTGGTAGAAGAGATATCTGATATTGCTGAAGAAAAAAATTAAATCTGAAGAATCATAACCTCTGTCTTTCTCTATAAAATGACTTCCCCAGCAAAATACACAATATCTTCATTAGACACCTTCTATGCCAAGACCAGTGAGACACCACAGCATTGCCTGACGTCTTATTAAGAAGCATCTTTTCTCATACAAAAAGTTTGCTCCATTTTTTAAATCAATTTTACAACGTGTAGCATAAAGTTCTCTGAATGCCTTTACCCCTTGATACTAGCTTCCAGTGGAGCTTGCTCCAGACAGAGAAGGGACAGAGTGGGATTGAGAGCAGGGTTGCAGGAAGTCATGCATGGCCATTCATAAGGCATCTAGAGATCCCTTTATTGTATCATCATTATGCGGCAGCAAAGTCAAACTCAACAAATAGTAACTGAGTGCCACAAAGTGCACTGCACGCTGTCAGGCCCTGGGAGGGGTACAAAGATGAATAAGATGTGGTCTGTGTCTCGCTTCTCACCATTCAATGGTGAGATCCTATGAGCCTAACTCCATGAGAAAGCTGACTGTGACAGTTTTTCAACAGGAGTACACAGTAAGGACTGGGGCTGAGTGGAGACTCATAATACCAGGAATCTGGGCTTATATCTCTTCTCTAACTAGGGAACACCTCATCGTCTGAGTTGGGTTTTACATCTATTCCACCCACACCCTCAGTACTTCAACCAGGGCCTTGCATAGATCAGCACTTGATTAGAATAGTTCTTAAAGTTCTGTTTGTGAGTTACACAACTTTGGTGGTTACAATAAAAAATTAGTAGTTATTGAAACTTTATTTTAGGGAACTATTCTGTTAAACATGGCTATACTTTCTTCCAACAAAAGGGTATAGATTTTTCAGGATTTAGTCAAAACATAGTTTGAATCTGGGGCTTCCTTGGTGGTGCAGTGGTTGAGAGTCCGCCTGCCGATGCAGGGGACACGGGTTCGTACCCCAGTCCGGGAAGATCCCACATGCCGCGGAGTGGCTGGGCCCATGAGCCATGGCCACTGAGCCTGCGCGTCCGGAGCCTGTGCTCCACAACGGGAGAGGCCACAACAGTGAGAGGCCCGCATACCGCAAAAAAAAAAAAAAACACAGTTTGAATCAAACATAACTTTTTCCTGGGTCTGCTTAAACAATTAAGAACAGAATGGGGGTTGGCAAATTTTTCCATAACAACCAGAAAGTAATTTTTTTCTGCAGACCAGACGGTGTCTGTCATAACTGCTCAACTCTGCCAGTGTAGCATGAAAACAGCCATAGAAAAAGTAAATAAATGAATGTGGCTGTGCTCCGAAAACACTTTACTTACAAAACCAGTCGATGGCAGAATTGGCCCATGGGGCAGAGTTTGCCAACCCTTGACCTAGAACGATATGATTCATTAAACTTCTCTTGAAATAGACGATTGTGTTTAAAACAACTAGATTCTATTTCTATGACTGAAATTTATGAAGAAAAAGATCAGTGAGCAATTCAACTCTGCTTCTGATGTAATTAATAAGGGAATGGAACAAGGTTACTCCTGGTCGACAGAGGAAGGGGCAGAAACAAAGAAATGAGCCTAGTCAAGACTGAACTTGCTGCCGTGCCCACCTCAGGAATGGTGTCAACCAGTGATTAGGAAAATTACTCTGGAGCTACTCTACCTGGCTCTGCCCTTTGGCACATTACCGAACATCTCTGTAAAATGGAATAATATTAATAATAACAATACCAAAGATGTTAAAAAGTTGTTTTAAGATTGAGAGAGTCACCACGTTTAACGTGCTTAAAACAGTGTTTGGCATACGGCAATGTGCAGTAAGTGCTCAAACATCTTGTTCAGATATGCTTTAATCCCTCCTCCCTTGTGCCTTCCAGACAAGGACTCTAGGGATGGGAGGCCCAGGATATTTTTATCAAATGGGTGTCATTCATGTTGCATCCGTTTAATAGACATCTCCACTGTGGAAAAGAAAAATTCGACCATGAAAAAGTCTAAAATCAGGACTGCGACAGCAGTGAGATGAAATTGGTGCAGCTTTTAGTTTTCATTCTTGTCCATTTCATCTAAATAAAGAGGATTCATTCCTCTCAGACTCTGGAATTATGACTTTGTTTTACTGGTTAAGCAG